GCTTGGTGGTGTGGGACAGTCAGCGGCAGCGCTGGGAGGGGTGGCAACGGGGGGGGCTATGGTGAATTTTAGGGTGGCTACAGTCCCCCAAAACTCCCTAGCGTTGCCCCTGCTCAGGGCATTCTGCTGTGTTGCCTTTCCATTGGGAGCGCTATGCTGTGGGGTGGGCAGGGGATGCGCGGCCAGTGCAGGGTTCCCAAGGGAAAGGCAGCAGAGCAGAGTACCCCAAGCAGGGGAAGCACTAGGGGGATTTTGGGGGAGCTATAGTGACCCCAAAATTCCCCACAGCCCCCCCATAACCACCCCTCCCGGTGTCACTATTGCTGCCACCTGCCCTGTGCAGATGAGCTCGCTCTGACCCCAGCCCCTGGCCTTAAGCCTGCAGCAGGCAGCCTGCTCTCACCCTGTGCACAAATCCAGGGGGCACATGCCCTCCATGCCTCCCCTAGGTTTGCATGCAGCAGCAGGGAGCCACCCCTTCTTCCCCTCCCCTGCATCGCCTGGATGAGCTGCCCATAGTTCTGCCCACTCCTGGCCCTGGGGTCCCATTTACTGCCCTGGCTGGGCAGTGCCTGCCCCTGCACCTTCCCCACTCCTTCCTTCACTGTGGGAGACTCGATCTGTCCCTTCCGTCCCTGCAGACTTACCAGCCGGGATGCTGCTCTTCAAGCTGCCTGGCTGCACACATGCATGCAGCTTTTATTGGTGACATCAGCTACACCAGCCAAAAAAGGCCGATGTTGTTAATTTTCCTTTTACCAGTCTGATATGTGACTGGTATATTGGTGCACCTCTAAATTAAATACCCTCTTGCATACCCTAGGAAATTTAATTTTCCATGGTGTAAGATGGTATTTTCCTGGAAAAGGTGGTCTGAAATTAAGGGCATCTTATACACCAGAACTACGTAATGAAAATTAATTGAAATCATTATGGTAAAAGTTGACCAAAATTCAATCAAATATAATTTCAATTAAAATTTTTTTCCTCTCAACTTCTGTCCTTTTGATGTAGATGGAATGCATCTTATGCACTAAAAAAAAGGTAACATTCAGAGGGAAAAATCCCATCTTAAAATGTAGAATTTCAGATAAATTAAAAGCAAAATACAGTGCACTGCTGCTAAAACACTACCAGATTGTGTATGAAATGATACATTGAAGTTCTTGTAAACATATGACGAAAAATTTCTAACTGCACCTGCATACCATTTGTGGTGTATAATTCCTCCCTGATTGATTAAGGGTTTTTTTGCAGACTTTCTGCACTTTTAGAAAAAAGTGGCCATGTGTAGGAGGGAGGAATTGTTTTCACAGTATATTAAAACTTTCTTTTTCTTTCCAAATACATGTATGGGACTCTGTGCTATACAGAACACATTGTGTACTGATGTGTCTAAATATGTGTAACTATTCCCAAATGCATACTGGTTCCTCCCTTTAGTTCACTACTGGGTACATATCTTGTATAATAATTTTGTTTTGAAGACTGCATCAATTATTACTCATCTGAAGCAAAAGTAAACTCCGTGTTCTTCAAATGTTGAATTTTTTCTTCAAGTTGAACTTATCAACCATCACATTAAATTTGTCTGAGCTGTTAGGGCTCCATCTCTGAGACCAGCATGTCAGGAATTTTTTAAACATGACAACAGCACATCTAACAAAGGATTGGCATGTCCTGATGGAATTATTGCCCGGTTACATCAAATGAACAGTATTAATTTGAAAAAAATATATTGATGTAACTTTTTTAAATTACCAGTTTGGTTTTTTTTACAACAGAGGAGGAGGCATGGTATATAGGCTTCAGGAAGGAAGCCCTACTCAGTGCTTCTTGCCACTTGCATACAGTGTCATGGGATATAAATTATAGCATTGCACTTAAGCCCTGACCAACAAGGGCACATGTTTACCTTCAGACACATCCATAATCTCTGTGACTGCTAATCTACACTGCACCTTCATCTATGGTAGAACTGGAAGTGTAAAATTATGTTACTGAAGACCATCAAACAAAAAAAGCTATAACCTTATACTGAGTAATATTTAATGATAAATTTTTCTTTTTAAAAAGAGAAGATACCCTGAATCCTGTTCCACACTGTGTAAATCAGAATAAGGGAGATTACCTGTGCCTAAATCTGTTTGTATTCCCTTTCTTAATAGCTTTCTAATTTAAAATGTTCTAACTTGCACATGAGATTGGTTCAAAACATTTAAAATGGAAATCTTAAATTCTCAGCAAGCATCCTGAGTAATATCAGCTTCTTGTATGATCGTTAAAATCCTGCAAGCCCTGCACTAAAATCTTTAGTAGGTGACAGACCTCAGCTGTAAATAAGGGCCAAGTTGGGCTTAATGTTGAATCAGCAAGGGGAATGAAACCACTCACTTAAGTAAAAGCTTTAAGATGAAGCCCTTGATTTAAAACGACCAGTCTTTCTGTGTCTCACTGTTCTCAATCTGAACTTCTAGGTCTAAAATCTCTATAAAGTGCCTCTAACTTTATGGCACGTACAGCAATATCTTGTCAAGTAGGGTATGGTAGTTTCTGACTACTTCTGGTTTGTTTTTTGTATTTTTTTTGATAGAATGATAGCCTTTAAATGTTTTATGTTAAATAAATAAATAAATACTGTAAATTTTTGCTGTACAGTTCTTTGAAATTAAAGTATTCACAGTTTTAATTAAATTGTTAAGAATAGAAACACTTTTATATAAAAAAAACAACTTGAACATATTCCTTAATAGATAAAAATGCCCCAAATGCAAACTTTCTTCTATAAAAGGCTAACCTTTTTTTTTTTTTTTTTTTTTTTTTTTTTTTTTTTTTACTATTTTGGGCTGGTGTTACTGCTTGCATTTTGGTATGTTATATATGTAGCTAGCTATGTTAAAATTAATAGTTGTCTTAATGCTTTGTTACTAATAGTTAAATGCTTGCATAATAAATAGCTACCCAAGCTGTATGGGGTTTTTTAATACTTTACTGTTTAATGTGATTGTGCTCTGGAAAAAAAGATAAGTGTCCTGTAACCTCATAGCAGAGGCATTTTGTATCAAAATATATCACTGCTACGCAGATGGGAAGTGAGATTTACTTGTGGCTTTGGATTTCTGCCAGGCACTGAGAGATGGGAACAAGCTGGCACAGATGGAAGAGGCACCACTTTTTCCTGGAGAATCAATCAAAGTTATTGGTAAGTGTAGCATTGAGCACTGCACTGAGTAGCATTAAATCATTACTTTATTTATGCATAAACATAAAGTGAAGTTATTTCCTGGTGCACTGTCTTTTTTTTATTCTATAATTTTATACTGAATTATCAAATTAGTTGTTGATTTTTCTCAGTCATTTGATGCTAAATGCAGGGCTGGGAGTAAATTAGTTAAAGGGTAAGTTGTTGTGTGAGCTGCTTTTTGTAAGCAGCTGATTCAGATAGATAAGTTAGGTGAGAGCATTTGTGCTCAAAATCTAGTTTTTCCTTAGTTTCAACAATTCAGAATTGTGCCAGTAAAGAAATGAAAATGTAATGACTCCCACCCAACTTCAGTACAAGGTTTTTCAGTCTAATGATCTGTAGTGGCTAGTTGTAGCGGAGTTACTATAGGGGTAAATATTTTTGTAGTGACCACAAAACAAGCCACTAATTCAGCTGAGTTTTAAATTCCATCTCTAGAAGTAAAAGATAGCACAGTAGCTCACTGTGTATTCAAGGCCAAATTTTCAAAACTCTTCCCTTTTTTTGTATGTACAATAGCTGTACACCTACCTATTCCATTTAAGCGGCCCAACAGCAGGTGCTATTAGTGTCAATTTGTATATAAGGTAGTTTGAGGTTTAGATGCTTGTTTTTTACTGGCTTCATACAGTTATGTGAAACAAGATTATGTAGTGGTTGGTGTACGTCGATGAATGGAGATTTTTTTTTTAATTAGTTTGTGCTGTAATGTATACAGTTCACATTTGAGTGATCCTGTTGTGAAATTTTACTTAAGCAACTTGCCCAAGGTTCGGCAATAGGTCAACTGATGCTTGTGAGCCTTTCCATATGACTGAAAAGTATGGTGCTACAAAGGATTATGCATTAGCTCAGAAAATACTGCTCACAGCTGTGAAAGTCTGAAAAAGGTAGAAATGGGACAGTCTGGGGTTTTTTTGTGAAAGGAAGAATCCTTGACAATTGAGAAACCCTCAATTCTGATTAGAAGTGGATGAGATATGGACCAAACTGATAGGAGATTATAGGAAATTTTGCCAAATGACCTGTGTTCTGTGCCACTTAGATTTTCTTATATGCAAGACACCACAAGTTAATTTTTGCCCTTTAGAAATGCTGAACTTTTAAAAAATGTGCCTGTTATTTCATTAGCACCCAGCAAAAATGCTTTGTGTGATGTGGGAACAATGCATGAGGCCATATCCTCATTCTCTTCAGTAGGCTTATTCTGCATGTATTGTGCAGGACTTGGGCATTTGATTATTATCTTTGTGGGTAGGAATGCAGAAGACTTTTTCTATTAAATCAAAGCTGTAGGGGTAGCAGGTCAGTTGTACTTTTGAAACGACTTCATTTGTAAGGTGTTATATCAGTCTTTTAGCCAAGTTAAAGCTGCAGGAAGCTATTATATAAAATAGATGATCATAACACAAATATCTACCGTAACAAAATATTTTTGATTTGTGCATTTTTTTTCTAGCTAAAGATGTCATGTATATCTGTCCATTTATGGGAGCAGTCAGTGGTACGCTGACAGTAACGGACTACAGGCTGTATATCAAAAGCATTGAGAGGGTGAGACTTTAAGATCTATATACATATTTCTTCTAGCTAGAATCTTTTCTATGCTGACAAGCAGCGACAGACTTGGTTTAAATTTTAAATGTAAAGTTCCACAGCCGTCAATCCAAATGGCAGTATAAATTACTGTGGCAGAACACACATTTTGATGTGCAATGTACTGGATTTTGTAATTAATTTATTATTATTTGAAATTAATATTTATTTTTTTATCCAAATTCCAGGATCCACCTTTTGTTCTTGATGTTCCCCTTGGAGTAATAAGTAGAGTTGAAAAGATTGGGGCACAGAGCCATGGAGACAACTCCTTTGGGATAGAAATTGTGTGCAAGGTACATACAGACTTAGTTCCTAGGAAATACATTTTATTGCTTAAGGGTTTTTTTGATTGGTTTTTTTTTTTGACAGGCATCTGCATTATAACTTCCATTGCATGTGGGAGAAAACACAAACCACCATGAAATATTTAGGTGCTGTAGGAAGTAGGAGAACCTGTTCTCAGCACTGAGCTAGTGCCACAGCATAACAGTAGTTTGCTTGAGGTACCAGTTTTGAATGAGGCTTAACAGAGAATTAAATGCCAAGGTTTTCAAACAACTCCATAGCACTCTTCATTAAATTAGGAATCCATAGATTAGTACAAAAGGACCTCAAGAGATCATCTAGTCGAACCAAGGATTGAATCTGCGACCTTGGTGTTATTAGCACCACGCTCCAACCAACTGAGCTAAATGGCTGCTAATGTAAACCCTGCCAGATTTCTATTTGATTAATTGTACCATTCATACCTAAATTCCTCCTTCAGATTCAGTGAATGATGTATTTCACTTCCTGCTGTGCACTGTTAAACACTTCTGCATTTCACCACAGTGCTGAATTCATGGGAAAAATGCTTATTTGTACAGCATAGTGGGACCTTCCTGAGGTCCCCAGTATTTTCATTTTAGGACAGAACCTTGTTAATGTGTGCATCCAGGTTGGAAACTGACTTGTGGTGATGCTAGTAGCCAGTGTACTTGATTTCAGTCATGTTTATAACATCTGCTATTTTTAATGCATCAAACTGTAGAAAGTAAGATGTGTTTTCTGACAGGATATGAGAAACTTGAGGCTTGCCTACAAACAGGAAGAACAAAGCAGACTGGAGATTTTTGAGAACCTTGTAACGCGTGCATTTCCTGTCTCTAAGGGGCTGGTAAGTACTAAAACAGGTAGAGGTGGCCCATGTCTGTCTGTCAGTGTTGGCTTAGGAAGCGTAGGTGGAAGGAAAGCAAATACTTCATAACAAATATATGAAGCTCTTGGTCTGATATATCATGAAGCAGACAGATTACCTTGGCTTGATTTCCTTACTGCAGTCTTTTAAAAAACTGCGAGCTGGCTCCTGCTACCTGGGAAATCTGTGGCACTAATGGCTGGGAGGTGAAGCTCTCTCCCACATTTTGTATAATAAAAAAAAATGTTCAGACTGGTTTGTTTAAGCCGGGTGTTAAGATTTGCCTACTAGGGCTGATGAAGGAGCAGCTTTGTTGACTAAAATAGTAAGCATTTTTCTCTAACACACAGAATATCAGAATATCAAAATTAAGATCAGATGCCTTCCTGAATCCACTGCCCAGCAAACATCTCTTGAGCACAAGTGGCTTTACAGTTTGAGATGGTGTACCATATCAGTCTGGTCTTGTGCATAGAGATCTGGACTGGGAATTTGGAGACCTGGCTTCGATTCCTGACCTTGTCAGTGGCTAGTTGTTAGACTTTGGGCAAGTCACTTCACCTCTATGGGGAGGGACTGCCTTTTATTTTGTTAGATATTCTCCCCCCACAGTGCTAGATATTATTTAGTCCTGATTGGGACCTCTGGGCCTGCTGTGAAAATAGTACAAGATTCTTTGTTGGAAATGACCCAGATCTGGACTTCTGACTTCTGTCTTCCAAGGCAGTTATGCTTTAGCCTATTAAAACAGAGTGTAATTTTTGTTTTTGTCGCTGTTGTTTCCAGCCACTTTTTGCTTTCAGCTATAAAGAAAAATTTCCTATCAATGGCTGGAAAGTTTATGATCCAATGGCAGAATATAAGAGGCAGGTAAGTTATCCAGATGTTAACTCCTTTATTTTTATTCTTATAATCTTTTAAACCTAATTTTTAAATTTTTCTTAGAAAATTTTGCAGACATATGGGCACCTGGGTACTTAAACTTAGTCTTTTGAATTCCTGTTTAACCGTCCAAAAGCTGATTTTGTTACAGTGGCAAACACCCATAAACATTGAAATATGTAGTGTTAGAAATGTTAATTACTTGAACTATTTTTATTTACGTGTCTAAATACATACATGGAGACTTAACTCTTCATAGCTGTTTCAGAAAACAAATACTAGTACACATATTTACTATTAAATAAGCACTAGTTATACAGATGCGTATGGGAGAAGTATAAGAGGGTCTGATATCAATCCCTGAACTTTTTGGAAGAAAATCACTTTTTTTTTATTTCACACTAGTCTAATATTGACTTTAGTAATGACCCATATAATGATGACTGCTTTTTAAATGAACTGTGGGCCTTATTTAGCCATACTGTCCCACATTCTTAAAAAAAATATATTGGAAAATACCTCGGTGCCTTTGAAGCAGTAAACTATGCAAAACAGCGTGCATAGCATTTCTTTTAAAGCGTGTAATGATGCTTTTTTTTTTTTTTGTCGCCAAACAGAGACATGCAAAGATCTAACATTTAAAAAAGAAAAATCTGAAAATATCTTGCTTCTGCACAGGGTTTGCCCAACGAGAGTTGGAAAATATCCAGAATTAACAGCACTTTTGAACTCTGTGATACTTATCCTGCCATCCTTGTTGTGCCAACCAGTGTGAAGGATGACGACCTCTCAAAAGTGGCAGCGTTTAGAACCAAAGGAAGAGTTCCAGTGAGTAAAACTTGTACAGTTAGACATGCGTTCACTCTGCATTTGTTACCTGGCTTATAGAAGTGAGCTGAGGTACCTTTAGGGTTTGTTTTTTTTAAAAGGCTTTTTAAGACAGTAATCGAGCTCTGTCCTAAAACAATAATCCAGCTCTTTCTTAAGTCATGTAAAATATGAAGGGATGCGTGAAAGTACAAGTGCTGTTTTTGGTGCTGTAAGGAAAAGGTTTTCTGTTTGGTTGTGGTGGGGGGTTGGTTTGTTTTTTGTTTTAATGTGGGAGGTTCTCCAGGGTGAGTTGAATCACCTTGTGGTTAATGAGCACCACTTCACTGTAATACATGTGGGAATAGAAGTAATATGTTCTCCCCTTCTAGAATAGGGACAGATTTGGAGGTAGGATGCAATGTGCGCTGTATTTCCCTAAGGCTGGGTGGTAGATTTCTAAGAGGCTGTTATTCATGGAGGAGACTTTATCCCTTTCAGATGCCCGTATTAAAATGGGAAGGAGACGTTTACAGAGAAAATGGCAATCGCATGAGGGGGAGAAAGGTTGGGAAATTTAACTTGATGTGCTGCAAGAAGTGAGTTGCAGTAGTTTTAGCTGGGGGCAGGATATCACAAGGTAGACCTGTATTTGAGTGCATAAATCTCCCCATTCAAGTAGTTTCCCTTTCCAACCTTTAGAAAACCCTATTACTGTACTTAAAACACTTTACTATTTTAGTTAGAAGGTAAAAATTAAAACTGTTACTGAATGTACAAGGCATAAAATCATAGTTTAGATTCTAAACTTTAGAATTCATTTTGAGCTGACAATTTTGGAAGCAGTTATGACTTCAGTAGCATGTTATATATTTTTGATCCTGTGTATGGTATGAATTATTGTTACTGAAGATTTTATTTGTCATTTTACTGGGGAGTTGGACTGTGGGATTAGGCTGACTGAAAAGCTGCTCTCAGAACCCATGTTTTTCAGGTGGTACAGTGTCCTGACACCAACTCTCTTAAATCTAGGTGTTATCGTGGATTCATCCCGAGAGCCAGGCAACCATAACACGCTGCAGCCAGCCTCTGATAGGACCAAATGACAAACATTGCAAAGAAGATGAAAAATACTTACAAACCATAATGGATGCCAATGCCCAGTCGCACAAGCTTATCATCTTTGATGCCAGGCAAAATAGTGTTGCTGATGCGAACAAAGTAGGTGATGTAATGTAATACTAAAATTGTACTATTTCTGTCCTAGTGTGTAGAAGCCCTGGTCTTAGACTGGACTCCATTGTGCCTGACAGAGATTACATTGCTCCTGTATTAAAAAGTAACGTATACTTTCAATGGATGATCACTTCTAGCAATAAAGCAATGCTTAGGGAAGCACTTCAATATCAAAGCATTCAGTCAATTTAACTAATCCTTACGATACTCATAAGAGCTATTTCTATCCCCTGGTCAAAAATGCCTCAACAAAGAGGCAGAAAGGGTGAATTGTTTGTAGTTGTACGAGTCATGATTTGCACTTCTCAATTTTCCAGCTCCCCGTCTTGTACTTGTACTGCAAGACCATCTGCTTGTCTAAATAACTACATCTTGCAGAAGTACTGGAATGCCTTTTGGCATGGACCAGTTGAATCCAAAGACATCTAAAATAGAAATTTTAGTCAGTGGTGTCAATAAAAGAAAGCTCAGGGAGTTGAAGATATGGGTCAATACTTGTGCTGTGCAGGTGGAGCAGGGAAATATTTCAGTGGAGTCCATCACATCTGAAGATGCTGCAGTGGGTTTCTTATTTATTGGGCCTGCTGTAGTGTCAGCACGCTGAACTAGAACAGAAACATGCTCTCATTTGTTTGATAAACATTTGGAAAAAGGTTTTGTGTTTTGCGCAGGGTTCAGACTAGATAGATAGCAAGGATGCAAGAGGGGATTAAGGCAGGCCAGAAAGGAATTGGATGCAATAGGCCAAATGGAAGAACACTAGTTCGTTAACAAGGTCTTGTTAACAAGGAAAAACAGGTGCGTTTTGGGGAGATGTAACATTGAGGTTGTTTTATTTTTAACTAGTTCCCATTTGTGCTAAGAAAAGCTTAAAACGTGGAAAAGTTGATAATGTTATACTAGACCCATGCACTTATTTATTTTTAAATGACAGGTAAAAGGTGGAGGCTATGAAAATGAAAGTTCCTATCCTAATGTTGAACTGTTTTTTTTGGAAATTCATAACATTCATGTGATGAGAGAATCACTGCGCAAGCTGAAAGAAATAGTTTATCCTACTATTGATGAGGCTCGGTGGTTGTCCAACATAGATTCAACACACTGGTTGGACTACATAAGGGTAAGACGCATGAGATGTGACGTCAATATGTTCTTGGCGTTTTAAAGCAGCATATGTGCATTTCTGAGTACAGAATAAAAATATAATTTATTATTGAGTCTTTTATCATCAGCTAAAAAGTTTATTTACGCTTAGTTTTATTGTGAGTACAGATAGATATTGCACGTTGTGTATTTCGTCTTGTAGGCATTGGGAAATACTGAGTTAAAGCTCAGTGAAGTGTAGGATCAAGGTTGTTGCTAGCCAGTGTTTATTTTTGCTCCTTAGCCGGGATACCAGGGTTATCCTTTCTTTTGGAAAACTGCAATGAGAATTTCAAATTCTCCTTGGACATCTGCCAGAGAGACGTCATTTTGAACTATTGCAGCCATTCTTATTCTTCTACCCCAGTAATGCAGCATCAGCGTTTTTACTCTGGACATTCATTTATTTTCATGACCCAAACTCCAATTAGAAAACAACTGGACTGCAATTTACTTTATTATTTAGCATGCTATTAAAATAACGCAAGATCATGTTAAACTTGACTGTCTGTTTTAGCCAACCTCTGCAAAGTTTGCTTTAAGAAGTTTCCTCCCACTTTGGTATCAAATACTGAAGAAATAGATTTTAAAGTGAAATTGGTTTCCGTGCAGTTTCAGCTCAGATGTCACTCATGCAAAGTATTTCTGATGTGCTTACCTGTATACCCATTTTGGCCTAGCTCTGGTAGTGCTGCTTGTTAATTGCTGCAGAAGAGCCAGCAGAGGGAGCAAATACATAGATTTATCTGAAAAATCTATTAATTTGGGGGAAGCTTAATTTTTTTCAGAACTGGAATATTTTAAACCAGATTTAAGTATTCAGAACCAGTGGCTTTTTCCATCCAAGTTTATCAATTCTTAAATATGACTGTCCATTTAAAAAAAAAAAAAAAAAAAAAAAGGGTATTCATTTATAGGCCTAGTATTTGCATTTCACTCCTGCTTTTAATTCAGTGGGGCTTCTTTGTGATACTATGTCAGGCTTGGACTGTGAAATCTCTTGGTTTCATAGTTAAGGTTGGAGTAGCCTGAGACGTGTGAAGTCTGTCTGGATGCACCTTGTGGGGTGATTCTGACAGTTTCAGATGGTTTGGTATTGACAGCTCAAACTGTGACTTCATCTAGTGTTGTTTAGAAACTCTAGTATTAGGTACATTTAGAATTAGCTGGAAGGATTATTAACACACAAGTTATTCTATAAAATAAAAGTATTTGTTTTAGTTTCTTAGAAATATTCACAGATGAAAAGTTTGTCTGAAGTGGAACAAAATGCTTCACCTCCTTCCATTGAGTTGCTGAATTAATGTGTTAGCTGTCTTTTTTCCCCATTTTCTGTTCACTGCATGTATCTACTCTTTCCTCCTTCTGTAGTTTTTACACTAGTGATGGGTTGGCATCTGTATCATTATTAGTGATTTTTCTAGGACAGTATAGAGAATGCTGCTTTACTTATAAAGGAATCGCTTTTCCTGTTGCTATCATAAACCCAACAAAGAGATGTTTGCAATGCTTACATGTTTTCAGTGCAGTATACATCATCTGTGACTTATGCACATGAGTTTTGCAGCTAACCAGCTCAAATTGCAGGCCCTGTAATTTCCTAATACAGGCTCTAACCTTACTTGCTAACAGTTCTCTCCTGGCATCCTTCAGTTTAACCGTAAAAGAGCAAATGCAATGAATCTTTGTCTCTAAAGCCTGAATGGCTTTCAAGGCTGAGCTTGTGAAAGCACAGCTGCTGCAACAGATACAGGCTTTCCTGTTTCCAAGAAATGTTTTAGCTTGCCTTGGAAAGGAAAGATGCCAAATGTCTCATGAGATCCCTTATTCTGATGTCAGTGGTCCTGCTTCCAGCTGTTTCTCATGTATATCTCAGTGCCACATGGAGACACGTTACAGACACACATCTGCGTAGGGGAAAAGATGACCTGAAGTTTAAACATGCAAAGAGCAGCCCAAACAACTTCCAAAGAGAAGGAGACTTGAAATCAAGAGTGAGATTTCGTGGGAATAAGAATTACTTGAGTGGCCACCATGTTTTGCCCCCTGACTTCTGAACCCAGACATTAATAGTAAAAATAAAGGCCCATTCCCGAGATGAACATAACATGTGCTCTGTCTACCAGTAAGTCAGTACAGGCAACTCAGAAGCCAGACAGCTCAGCCCACATGTACATTTGGGTTGCCCAGAACTACTGTTTTGGCCTTGATTAGCTGGAAGTATTCTCCTTCTGCCCTGGCTCAAAACTAAATTCTGAGGAGGAGTAATAATAGTTCACGAGAGAACTGATTTTCTTGGAAAAAAATTGAACTCTATGTGGTAGTTTCCTGAATGGTCTGCACTGACTTATTCATGTTTTCATTATAGTCCAGAATTTAGAGAGACTCTAATTTTAAGTTAAAATATTGCTTGGGTCACACAGAAATGTGTGTTGCGTTCTTAGTTTACAATACGGTATTCTAGGACTGTGGAATAGGGCTTTGGGCTAAAGTGGTGTATAACATGCTACTTTTTTGGGATTTTTGTTTTTAAAAGATGCTTCTTGCTGGAGCAGTCAGAATTGCTGATAAAATTGAATCTGGTAAAACATCAGTGGTGGTACACTGCAGTGATGGCTGGGATCGAACTGCCCAGCTGACTTCATTAGCCATGCTTATGTTGGACAGCTATTATCGAACTATCAAAGGATTTGAAACTCTTATAGAAAAAGAGTGGATAAGTTTTGGACATCGGTTTGCCATGGTAAGTTAAAAGAATTAATACAAAATAATCTCCTGCAGATCTTTTTATTTTTTTGCCACTTGTTGATGTTTTGCAGCATTTAGATTAATATTCCCTGTGCCTTGCTGTGTGCCAACAGTCTGAGCAGTCTCGGAGAAATCAGACCAATTCACCTCTAATAGGGAAAAAAAGCTGTATTTATGTGAAACGTTAATTTATTAACTTGTGCACAACATAATTTACAAGAAGGACAAATTTGAAGTCAGTAATAAAGGACAAATGTCTAGATATTACTGGAAGAGTAGAAGATTATGAAGCATGATGAAAGAACTTAGTGAAGAAATAATAAAAAGGGAAAATATTAGGGAAAGGATATGGCTATCATGTAGGTAAAAAAATAAATAAATATTGGTACAGACTTTGTCTTACAGCAAGCATAGTGTATGTGCGCATGTGTGTTTAATTTGAACTAGCAAAGAGGTAAATTATAAAACCTTGTGCAGCATACATGACCTCTGTAGGCTTAGGTGCAATAACATGTGGGTAGGGAGAATAATCCTAGTTTCAGTACAATCTCAGTAACTGTTGCAGGTAGTTTATCCAGTATGATAAAATGCCAGATTCACTGAATCTGTACTTGTGTGGAAGTGAGGTGGGGAACATGGATTCCCAACTATTTATTCTGTTCATATAAGCAAGGCAGCAGTCCTTATGTGGAAACTCTGAATTGACAAGGGAATTTTGGGGCTTAGTCAGTGTTCATCTTATTTTTAAGGTGAACATTTTAAATTTTGTTCGTGTGGTTGGCATTCGTGTCTCCTAGAAGGTAGGATCACAAACATGAATCAAGTCAGGATTTGGGGGGAGTGGAAAGATGGAATTTGTCACCAGGTGAACTGCATTTGTCACATTCTTCTGAGAGCCGACCTCAGTTGACTCTTTGGTATTAATGATGTGGGTGCTGCTTTGGATGGATGCAATTGAAGTGAAACGTTGCTCATTCTGACTTTCAGCGAGTAGGCCATGGAGATGATGATCATGCAGGTGCTGACAGATCTCCCATTTTCCTTCAGTTCATTGATTGTGTTTGGCAAATGACAAGGCAGGTAAGAAATCCTGGCAGTGCATTTATATTGATATCTTCAGCTTTTATACTGGAAGTGTAATCCATGTGGAAGGTCATATTTCCTTTAAATTAGTATAATAATGTATTTTGATTGAGAAATGTAATACATTATTAAATCCATAATTACTGCATCTCTTTTACCCAGCGTGATGAGCAATGAAGTACTAGCATGAGGCCAATAAGTAGGCATCTCTTGTTTGGAGTAGACTGACTTGCATTTCTGCATGTGGAAGTATGAAATTATCTCAAAACATTTTTACATTTAAAATTTGCGTGATTTGATTTTTTTTTTTTTTTTTTTGCTCTTTTAAACCTATGCTCTTTAGGGCTTTTTTTTTTCTTTTTTTTTTCTTTCCCAATAGAAACTCAAGTGACCTTGGTGTACTGGGCAAAGTATAGGAAAGGAAGCATTCAGTTTTAGTATGCCTAGATACCTTCTTTTTTTTTAATTTCATGATGTTTCAGTCATGAACATGGAGCATATTCCAGTCCTGGTCATTTTTTAAAGGTTTCTTTATACGTTCGTGGGTGTCATAGTTTCAAAAACTTTTTATTTAAACCAATTGCTTTCGATGTTATGAAAATCTTTTGCGGGGCCTGGTATAAAGTCCACTGCAGACTTTTCCAGTCTTTGTATGCATGTGTATTTCAGTGTCGACATGCTGTTCAGTACAGCCAAAAACATTTTAAAAAATCTGTTTCTGAGAGAAGTCTCTGTTACTGAGAATAGTAACTAGCTGCCCAGAAGAGAAACAGTTATAAACATCTGGAAGGATCAAAAATCCATTAGAGAGCGATTTAATTCAGAACAGCCTCCTTCTGTTTTTGTGATCTCCCTTCCCTCCTCCTACGTCTTGCCTTATAAACTGTTTAGTTCCCTGCTAGTAAAAGAAGGATGAAACATTTTGCTGATGCCACATCTGTGCAAAATCTGGATCCAAATAGTGTTCTGAAATTCATAAATAGGAATGGCATTGGGAAACTTTAAGGCTCTAATGGGAAGGAAATGAACACGTTGTCTTAAGATGATCTTATCCACTTATTTTTCCTTGTTTTAACTCACTTCTGCATGTTTTAAGTCAGGGCAGCCATGTTATGGATTTGAGGAAAACTATGGTCCTATTTTAGCTATATGTAGGTAAGTAGCTTATAAAATGAGCTGACCTAAGATCCATATTAGATGAATGTGAAATAGTCCAGAACTACATCATGTGATAAGTGTTTGTAAAGGCTGTAGGAAAGCTTTTCTCTTTGTCAAAATGTTTCGCTTTCTGAGAACATAGGTTCAGTGAAATGAAAAATCTTCCAATTGGCCATGAAAATTTAAAATCCTGGAGAACATTTTCAAAATTACAAACCTCAATCTTCAGCAACTTTGTATTTTTCCAAATTTTCCAAGCCTTGATGGTACTTGGACATTAAGGAAAACTTGAGAGAAATGATGTTATGCTGGGCCTTAGAAAAGAATAGATGCTTTAAGTGGTTTCTTTATTAATAAATTATGATACTAGCGACTGACAAACTTAAAACCAGGAAAGCCTATGTGCAGCTGGTTGTAGTTCACGGGAGATCAACACTGTCCCTTAAATCTTCTTGGGATTATTACACTTCAAGCAATATCTTGCCACATCTAATATTCATCATCTTAGATATAAGCAAAATATGTTCAATTGGGCATGAAGTTAATGTCACTCTATCTGGTAACAGCCAGGACTTGTCCCTAGGCAGAGATGTACATGTCATTAGTTACAACAGTGTGCTCTCCTGGGGTGCTAGTACTCATGCATGTTGGCTTAGTCCACTTCCATGAGTGTGAGAGCCATATCGACAAGCGTTGCAGTTTAAAGTATTATTGTAGCAGGGTATTCCTGTTAAATTACAAGATTCAGCAGTAAACTTATTACTGTTCTGAGCCAAATTCAGCTTGGCAGCATCAGTCTTCTTCAACTGACAATTTCTCTGTAGTTGTCTTCAAATGACCAAAATGACCTCCATGACCAAAATAAGCCTAATATCACAGGTGACAGCTTTTAATGCAGGGGTGGGCAAAATACAGCCCACAGGCTGGATCTGACCCATGGAGGGGCTTTGTCCAGTCTGTGGCAGGTCCCTTGATACTGCCTGGCCCAGGTGCTGCTCGGCCTGGCGCATCCTGCTACCCCCTGAGCATGCATCAGGGCTGGGGTGGCTCCTTCCAGGTGCCGCCGCTGCTGGCCCCAGCCCTGCGGTACTAGTGGGGGCCTGCACACGCAGCCCTGACACAGTATGTCCAGGCTTGACAGCAGTGGTGACACTGGGCAGAAACTGTTGCTCAGCATGGGGGGGGAAAAGTGGCCTCTCCCTATCGCTGCTGTTCGGAAGGTCTTGCTGCAAGTGCTCGGAGCCTATGCCATGCCAGGCTGCCTTGCGTCTCTGTCACTGCCACCTTTGGGCTGCCTGCGGCTGCCCTGAACTATCACTGCTGCTCTTCAGGGCAGTCCAGAGGCGGTGGTGATGGAGATGCGGGCAACCTGGTGCGATGCAGGCTCCAGGCAACTGCAGTGAGAACTGCCTGGCAGCAGTGATGGGGAGGGGCTGCTTTTCCTCTGCACCGAGCAACAGTTTCTGCCTGGAGCCACTGTGGCTGCCACTGCTGAGCCTGGACAGGTGAGTTTGGAGCAGGTGCAGGGTGCACCGAGTCGGGGCTGCGCACACAGATCCCTGCTGTGTGCCCATTTTCTATGATTCTGTGGTCCCTCACCCCTGCTGTGTGCTCATTGCTATCATGCAATCTTGTCTGCATACACAATGCGAATGTATACAAATCAGGGCAAAAATATATATTTTTTTTAAATAAAATATATTGTTGTAGATGTTTGATTTTCAGTATCAAAGGTTAGGGGTGGGACTTCCAGTCCCAAGATGCTGACCAGGGGTTGGGGTGCTTATCAAGGTGCAGGGCCACCCTTGCGGCCCTCAGCAGCTCGCCAAAACCTATTAAGCATCCCTCTAGCCGAAATAGTTGCCCACCCTTCTTTTAATGGCATGTATATTTACTCATTATTGGATTGGGAGAAAATGAAAGTTTCGTATGGGAGTTTTTGTTCTGTCTAGATCCTCAAATAGATGCTAATGTGCTTGGAACCGGAGAGGAAAAACATTTTAGGTCAGTGATTATTTTTTCAGCTCTGGTAATAGTATCCTTATAGTCTAGATCAGTGATTCTCAACCAGGGTGCTGGGGTACCTTGGGGTGCTGCCAGATCCTTTGAAGGCTGCTGAGAGGTGTGAGGAGATAAACCAGGCTTAGGACTCTCCAGGTTGTTAAGACCCAGGGAGACAAAGCCTTGGCGGGGATCATCTAGTTGGGGACGGTCCTCCTTTGAGCAGGGGGCTGGACTAGATGTGACCTCCTGAGGTCCCTTCCAACCCTCATTGTCTATGATCCTATGATCCCCCACCCCTGCTGCCTAGCCCTTGTGTAGGAAGGGAAATACTGTAATACTTAAATTTAATGTTTTTAATTGGGTGCCACTCAGTTCACAAAAGTTATAGAGGGGTGCCTTAAGCCCAGTGAAGGATACCTCGGGTCCAAAAAGGTTGAGAACCACTGGTCTAGATGCACCATTTTTCCAGAAAAATAACTGTTATATCTAAAGATAAGGTTTTGATACACTGGTGTATGGGATTTGGAATGTGCTCCAGAGGATCGGACTAGCTGCCATGTCAGTGTTCGTCTGATTAATGCAAGCCCAGCACAGCGTCGAACCCAGATGGGACGAACGCTCGTTAAATGAAAGAGAATCCCTTCAGGAGAGGCTCTTACAGATAATTTCCAAATTGCACTTTGAACCTTTGCCACATCAGGTTTGATCTTCTGTGTCAGATTGCTACTGTGCAAAGGTGGAGACCGAGTGAGTTCAAAGATCTAGTGGATTTTTTCTACATGCAGGTTTTTTGTCATGATTTTGAATCTAACTATATTGTGAACACGGATACTTGGGAAAAAGGTTGACGTTGAATCTCTTACGAGGCCATTTCTTAAACAGAGAAAGCCCTTTATTTTTTTTTATAAACAAATATTCCGTGTCATCCAACTCCTTAACTTCAATACAAGTAACATTTGCCCTTCATAAATTGTAGATAAGACTGAAAAAGACTTTCTGGGTCACTTAGTTCATCCTCAGGCAGGATTGCTGGGTTAGTCCTCTAAGCAACAGTTAAGTGTTTCATTAAAACCCTCTCTCAAGGCACTCTGAGCAGAGGTGTGAAACCTTCTGCTTAGGCACATAAAGGACAAAGAACATGAAATGTTGATTTCTCCATGTCAAATATTCATACTTACCTACAGAAGATTAATTCATTACCAGTCTGTACAGTTGATGTTTAGACCTCTGCAAAAACTTCTCATTATGGAAGTGCTGCAGTTTTTTGGTAGAAGAATGCCTTTGTATTTTGAGTCTATCACCATACTAATTAGATGAAGAGTTATTTTTCCTTCTGGAAGTGGCATTGGTAGATAGTCTAGTACAATATGACTTGGTTATTGATGGAGAACCCTTCCTCACTTGAATGAGTAACAGGACTTGCAGTTTAACTTGCTGCTTTCAATTTTCAGAGCTCCTAAAATTGCAGGTATGTCTTGGATTTCACTTCTATAAATGTCACATTTTCTACGAATTTACCAATATTTTGTCTCTGGTACTTTAAAACCTCCATGAGTAAAGTACATAATGGTGAACGGTGACAATGCTTCTTTCATTTCAGATGTAAGGGATTTACTTTCTAAATGAAATAGAAGAAGGATTAAAGGATTATTGTACATAGTTGATGATAAAACTCAAGGGGAGAAAAGGGGAAAAATGTGAATTGGTTTGGTGGAAAGAAAGAAGTGTTTAAGTATATATTAAACACATCATGTGTGCAATAATCTTCACTATCTTATTCATTACATATTAGCTTAGAAAATAAAACCCTTAATGCTTAACTCTTAAACTTTTTTTTTTAAGAGCATGTCCTTTAACAAAGAAATAATAATACCTCTCGAGGAAATGTTGTTTGTGGGTTAGAACAGGATGCTCCCGGGCAGGGCTTGGATCCATTGCCGTGTGTCAGGGAACAGTTAACTTACGGGTTTATTTACTGACCCGCGTCTGTTTTCTTTGCACACCGGATATAATGCTTGGTTCTCAAGCTAAAGTATGCAACTCTTCAGATGAAAAGTGTGAAGTACAATAATATTGAAACTGCTAAGCATTTGTTATGATACTCTGTAGACACAAAACACAATTTTTAAAAATTCTTCTTGTATCTTTTTAGTTATTACACAAGGAAGTTTTTCTTTATTTTGCACACAAAAGTCTTAATATTTTAACAATCTGTTTTTTTTTTTCCAGTTTCCTGCAGCTTTTGAATTCAATGAACTTTTTTTGGTCACCATTTTGGATCATCTTTATAGCTGCCTCTTTGGGACTTTTTTATTCAACTGTGAACAGGAGCGCGTAAAAGAAGTAAGTGGTATGCTGCTTCACATTTGACATGTTGTTTTTATGCAGACATGCTTTGACCGTGAGATAGAAGAAGCATTTTGAACATTTGTGTGAAGCATTATCTTGTCATCTGAGTCACAAGAGGTGGCCCGGGGAAAAAAAAATAAGTATAGCTATATGAGAAATATGTACTATATCCCCTGATCGCACTGAGGGCTGCTTAGCCACATGCCACATCATCATTTGTTGAAAGAAAATGTTTCCCCCTCCTTTTTTTTTTTTAGGTACCACAACTTCCACCGTTTCAGAGGCTGTTAACTAATGTTCTAGATAGTGTCCCATTCAGAGCACCCACCCCAAAATACCCCAAGCATAGCCCTTTACCAACACAGTTTTGATCATCTCTAGCAGAGCTCCCTACCTGATATGCTTTTTCCAGTGCAGTACCTACTGGGGCATAATTCGAAGCAGAAATTGAGCATGGATGATCAAATGTAGAATTGAAAGATGGGAGAGACTTCTTTATATAATAGTGACGTTAGCACTATCAGTACTTCTGTGGAGCAATTTGAGACTAAATAAAGTGTGCCATAGAAGGTGGAAAGTATTCTTAGTAAAACTTAAAATAACTGTCCATTAGTATATATAGCTTTGTTTTTTCTGGTTTGACTGACTGGTGTAGTAGAAAAATTTGCATGTGTATACCACAAGATGGAGCTAAATAATATATTCTTGGCAAATAAATGGTTATCAGACAGCTTGCTTTCACAAATGAAAAATCTGATGCAGCTCCCTTTCTAAAAAAAAATGCAATTTAAGACACAACTGTAGTGGAAACAGCTGCTTTATAGCACTGAAGGAGTGTAAAATGGCACTGGAAAGCTGATAAGAATTCCAATTTTGAAACTTAAATGGAATTGCTTTATTCATGTATTTTGTTACATAGGTTTGAAAATACAAACAAAGCTAAAGGTGGACAATTAAAAGCACGCCATTTAGACGGATCTAAGCGAACAGTGGAAAAATATTGTTTTGGTTATTGCAAACTATCTAAAAATTAGCAAAAATACAATAATTTTTTTGTTATATTTTGGGTTGGCCAGTGGTTAAATCTGGATGTAACTGGCTATAGATACTGCTCCAGTATAGAGGTGAGGAAGATGTTTTTTACCCTCTCTTCCTCAAGTGTTATAGGTAGTGCAACAGCTTTCCAGTCGCAACTAAACAACCAATCAAATACACTTGAACTTCCATCCTGTTCCTGACTGACCTTAAGGGAATAGATATTCCAGCAACTTTGGATACCACAGATATTGAAATGCTCTGAACACTTGGTTTATTGTAGTAAATAGGTAGCTACTGTGCTTCCTTGTTAAATTACTGCACTAAATGATGCGAATTTTTTTATTTTTTCTCTTCCCATGATAACAGATGGAAAATATATTTCAGAGTTGTAAAACCATGACAAATTCAATGTGTGTCCTAACATAGCTGTAATGTATTGAATAATTAATGGAGCAAAAGAATAGTGTTACCATACTTTCAACTGTTGTGCAAAAATGTAAAGATTTTGAAATGCATATCCTAAAATACCACTCTTTGTATTTACTCAGGAAATAAGCACAAAGACTGTATCGTTATGGTCCTATGTTAATAGTCAACTAGATGAATTTACAAACCCTTTCTATGTAAACTATGAACACCATGTCCTGTATCCAGTTGCCAGTCTGAACCACTTGGAGTTATGGGTAAACTATTATGTCAGATGGAATCCACGAATGCGGCCACAGGTACGGGTTGTCTGCGTTTGGTTTTTGTTTCTAATTAGCAACTTATGTCTGTCAGTAAAAATAAACGGAACCAACAGACTTTGCCTTTGTTTTGTCCAAATATGTAAGTAAACTATTCCATTAAACTCTTCCATGTGGAAAAGTTCTCCAAGCATTTAGAATGATAAAAAGAGGTGATGCTCTAAAACAAGAGCTGGTGATGCGCTAAATCGTACCACAACGTTGTCTTCATTAAAGTTACAAACAAGGAATGTATGAAAGAAAAGTACTCAAAGTGTACTTATTCTACTCTGGTTGTGAAAGACAAGAGATTAACACTGTTATCAGCACAACACTTTTATAAACCAGGAACAGGCAATATCCATTTATTGACACTTCCTCAACCCTGTTGTGGGGGGATCGCCTTTACAGGTGAGCGTTACTGTTCAGTCTCTGCTCATTCAGCTTTTCCCACTTGCTGAGCCTGCTGAAATAATGTAAATTGTAGCAGTTATTTCTGTTGAAACTGGACTGACTTCAGTTAGTTTCAAGGACTGTCTTAGTTTTCTGTAAGCTGATAACAATTTTTAGCTGTCCTTCGGCTGTTCGATGACAATCAATTTGGATATGTTACCTCCCTAGAAATGAAAAGTTGTACATACATGCTGTTTGATTCATCCAGTATTCGGTTTTTTATGTAATTGATTTGGGAGTACTTGAATGAACATCTTGCGACACTAATACGGTCTCTGCTTCCTAACTGTGAACCTCCAAGGGGAGGGAACACTTCATTTGTGTCACAGCCATAATCTGTCTGAAGGTGCGACACGTTTCTTGTTAACGTAACACCCTAAGGTATTCCCAAACACGTTTGGTAAGTTGTCAGTGTTAAAGGTATTGCTTGCAAGCATCTTTCTTCTCCTAGCAGCTGGAAGGAAGAGTGAGTTTCGTAGGACGCCCGTTACCCAGAGGCTGTTGTGAAAGATGAGCTCTTAAGTGAGTTCCAGGGACAACCTTCATTGATGGAAATCCAGGCACCCTGGCCCTTTGCCTCAGCTGGGGGTGCCTGGACTACTGGATTTCTCACCTGGACGCTTTGTCCTTCTTCTCAGTTGTTATACCTGTGTCTTAGGAGGCTTAGGGCCTAAGCTGTCATTTGTCTATTAAATTTATCAAATCCTAGAATAAGAAGGATTTTAATCTTTTGTGGAGTTCTCTTTGGTTTATCTAACAGTGCACATCCCTTGAGAGAGCAGATTTTGCATTCTGTTTGAGCAGCCAGTTAATACATTTTAGAGTAATTAAGGTTGGCCTACAAGCATATCAGCTCATTGTACTTGTTGAAATAAGGCCTACAGGTACCAATCGCAGATGAGAAGTTGGATGAGCTACAGGCTCCAAGAACATGCAGAAAGGTGGTCCCTGTCCCAAAGAGGTTGTAACATGAAGAAGGGGGTTGAGGTAAAAAAAAAAAAAATATTATCATACAGTTAATAATAGGGTACCAGTAACCAGATTATCAGACCGTTAGAATGGTTTCTGCTTACTGACTGGCTACAGTTACCTGAGAGTACTTTTGTGCGCATCTTGGTTTAAACCAGGGACCTCAAGCTCACCTGTGCCCCCAGGCCAGCTCCACACCACAAGGAGCCTCCCAGGCTGAATCCAGACCTGGTAGCAGAGCAGGGTGGGGGTTAATGCCACTGCTGCTTGTCCCCTCTCTGCTGCTGACGCATGTGCCCACTGGGGCTTTGGTGCTAGACCCCTCCCCTGAATCCGCAGCTCCCACAGGAGCCCCACACGCCGTCTGTCTGACACCTCTGGCTGAAGTGAATGGTAACAGAATCAGCACAGGCTACTGGTCTTCAGCTGTCTGCAGGAAGATGTACCTGATCAGCAAAACCAGCATGATTTTTGAGTCCTTCCCAGGTCTAAAGCTCTATTTTATCAAAGGCAAGCAAATCTGAGGGCTGCAGTAGTTGCCATAGCATCAACAATATTGCTGCTAAAGAACTGCGGCTGCTAACTGAATATTGGCTCAAGTTTGTAATTTCCCTCCTATTCCAGTGCTGCCCTGCGTGCCAAACATCTTGAGATTTCATTTGATTTGGATATAATGCCCAGAAGCATATTGCCAAAACCCCGCGTAGTTTCCAGCGTAGTTATCAAAGCCCACACCCCTGCAACTCCTCAGACTAGCAATTCAGCAAGTTCACCTTCTCTATATTTGTACTGTCTAGTTTCAGATCCTGCTAGCCTGTGCAGCATCAGTTGGAAGCACCATTACCATTTTTATTCAACAGATCAGATTCAGAGAAAAAAAGTTCTTGGGTAATCAGTGAATATATTAAGAGAATGGGCCTTTCAACATACTGATAAAAATCGCTTTGCTTTGCAGCTTTTAATGTGATCCCTTTTCTTTGTCTTGCTTTGTGCTGGAATAAAGGAAAATAAAATATTTAACAGAAAGCCCTCTGAGGAGCAGGAGTACAAGGCAACTTCACATGCTGCTTTATCAAGATGCAAAAAAACAAAAATACAAAACCCCAAAAAACCTTCTCTAGGCTGCTGGGAGACGCTTGTAGTTTCCTGAAAGTCCACTGAAAAGAGAAATGATCCAATACATGGATTTAATTGAGGATTAAGGCCAGCCCTTTAGTGTGGGGTGAGGGTAGGTATTTGAACCCAATCTGAACTAATCTGCTTTGATGATAAGAGGAGAGCCTCACAGAAACAAAAAGGCAGCGTCTAAATTCAGTCAGTATGTTTCTTCTCTATCTTTTAGCTTTCTGAATCATGGGGGCTTGGTTTTTTTAAATAGGCCCAATGATGTTAAGCACCCATGTCTGACTTTTAATGAGAATTAGCAACCCAACTCCCTTGAAAATCACAGCCCGACTCTTAACACGAGATACTATCATTGTATAAGCATTATCTTTTTGCTCCGTTCTGCCCACTCTCTGGGCATATCTGCTTTTCTCTGCTTGGATCTACCAGGATTCCTGCAAGTCTGAATGCGTTGCAAGATGATGCGTGTCGAGAAACCACAATTCACCAGGCTATTTAGAGTCAATAGAGATGCTTATGTTCTGTGAAGAAGAGACTGCTTTAACAATGGGCAGTGGCTCAGTGCACCATGGATTTGGGAAAGGCTGGATTGATGGTTTTATTGTTGGTATTCTAGTACTCCCAAGGACTCCGGTTTCAGGATTATGACCCTATTGTATTGTATTCAGGTGATGGTCTGTCAACTTCTCTTTCCTGCCTGGTGCAGGGGGCTGGATTCGATGATGATCTTTTGAGGTCCCTTCCAGCCTTACAATCTATGAATCTTTGAAGCTGGGAGTGCACTGCAGGTGGAGGATAAAAGCACCAGGGGGAAGAAATGTTTTGCTGGGATCCACCTCAGTACCACATACTCCTTGTACTTCGCTATCCCTAGTGGATCAGGCAGGTTTTAGGACCGTCCTGCTGATCTCAGAACACTGAATCTACTTATGAAAAGACTTGCATTATCCGTGCCATGCTGGAATTGTAAAAATGCACATTTGTTCTTGCTAGATACATTTTCAGGACTCTGCTTTCCAGGCTGATCTGCTACCTTTCATGTCCAGTCTAGAGCGGATGTGACAATACAGCTTTTTGGCAGGAGCTTTTGGAGTTCTTCAAGTGTTATCAGGTCTCTCTTGTTTTCCTTATTCTGTAGCACTTGAGCAGGTAGCCTCTGCTTTAGCTTGCCTGATGGAGAATTTGCGGCATTTAGACGTCTGTAAGCATCCTTTGGGATCTCTTTTGGAACACGCGACAAATCCTTCCAACCAACCTTTCCTCCTGGAGCATGGCTTCTGCAAACATCGTATTTTGAAACTTTGTCCATGTTGTCTGCAGGTCATGATTAAAGCCTTTGAGCTGAAAGCCTTAGTGCCGTGTAGAAAAGACAACAAGAATTCCAGTATCTGCTTGGCTCTGTACCCAGCGGAAGACGGCATGATCTTTTGCTGACCTAAGGAGCTTTGTATTAAAGGCAAAGCCTATAGTTAGGATTGCCCAACACTTCCGTTGTATGACCCTATTTCAGTTCCTGTATACTTTTATCAGAGTTCAGATGTTTGGGCTGAAATTTTGATGTGCTCTCTGAATTTTTTCTCTATGCAATCCTTTTGTCTGTGCAGTCTTAAGATGCCTCACTTATGCTCTGTATTTCTTAGTTCTGTCACCACATACTGTTATTTCCCACCCCAGCCCTGCCTCATTCAGTGCACAGCATGGCAACTGGGGATAACTTGCCTGTGCAGCAGAGAAGTGTCTTGTCCATAAGATTTGTGCCTTCTTTTTGCAGAACTTGAGAAGTACGCAGTGAATGACACGGGAGACTTTAGAAGCAGCAGCTCTGGTCTTAAAATAGTTCGGGTGGTTAAATGTTGCCTTGATTCCATCCCCGTCTCTTCCGTAGAGATCCTCTGTGGGGCTGGACAAATCACCCAAGTTCACACTTCGCCCACTGGGCGTGAAAAGTGGGTGCTCCTCATCTTACAGGGGCCCGTGGATTTACACCTGTGTAGGTGTCGCGTCTGTATCCGATCCTGTTCCCCACCACCTATGAGAGAGGTGCAGAAATAGCAGCCTTCTGCCTGCAGCTGCCCTGGACACGTGCTTGCCTGCCTGCCGCTCCGGATCACCGGGGTCATTTACATTGTTTTGAGCACTGATGTGAGTTGCACAGAGTGAACGTGTCCTGTGCCCAGGTCCTTAGCCTTGACTGAGTTCCCATTTCTTCTTTTCTTTATGCTTGCTCTATTCCCTTAAACTCACTACTCTTTCTTGGGCATTGTCATCCACAGCTTTTTAAACTACCCAGTACTTTGCAGTATACATATGCCAGTTCACACAATAAGATTCCTATTCTTCAGTTCCTAGTAACTGCTTTTCATGATGGTCTTTGGTTTAGCTGGCCTTTCAGTGGCATGCCTTTATAATAGGTACTTAAGTGTTGATTGCTATTGAAAAATACTGCTCTCGTCATGAGAGATGGACTTTCCATGTAAGTACATTGTTAACAAGGGTTTTAAAAGCAGCTCTGTTAGACTTCCAGCTCTTCGTAAAGAGGAACAAATAACTCCACTGAAAGACATTGTCTTTTTTGCAGCACAAAGAGTATGTTTTTGAAAAAACGGCTTGACAAAGTCTAGATCAAGCAATGAATTTAAAATAGTCATTTTTCTCTGCAGCCTTTCTTCCCTGTTGCTAGAATAGATAACATATACCCACAGAACAAGACGAAATGTATTCACTGCTGAACAATTTTCAAGTGAATGACTGTCCTTGAGCTAGTACAGTAATACACAGTAGATATCCATCCAATTAAGAATTGGCAGTACTGTAAGTGAGTAGCTATTATGATTTCTTTTATATCTAGCTTGGGTGTTTACCAGTTTTGTTATCCAAACCTACTTCACAATACAGGGTTGAAAAATGAAAATAAAGAAGATGGACAAGCGTAATTTATGGATACCAGTTTGACTTTTCGCAGAAACAGAGCATGTGCTCGCGTGCCCTCTCTCTCTCCATCTCTCCAAGCTTGTTTTAATGCCTAAATGGCTGCTCCCATTAGTTGCACTGTCCTTGTTTAAAGCCTTTTTAGTTGGGGTGTAGATAATGTGGCAAGAAAGAACTGCTTCACATTGCAGACTGATTTCCGTTACAGTTTGTGGTGTTGTTCCACCAGGGGTTTGGTTTTTTTTGTTGCTGCCGGCGGTATAGTTTACTTGCAGCTGGTACCTGCCGTGCCTTCTACCTTTGGGAAAACGTAACGTCTGAGGGGGTGAGTGCATGGAGGAGGGGCAGTGGGAGTCCCATGGCCAAGGGGATGCCGTTCTCGATGCCAAGACATTATAGCATGTGTCTACAAACAATTTAGCCAATTTCTGAGGCGCAGGATGATTTGGGAGAGTCCCTGGACCACTTTTTATGGAGGCTGATGCTCAAGCAGGGTCTAAGGGCCAGAATCTGTGGAGCCGTGGCAGTATATATGTACCCCGACTGAGTACCTGCCCCTATGTCTCCACTGCTCAGCACTGCTGGCAAACCCCCGAACGTGGCTTTACTCAGCTTAACCCTGAAATAACTGGGAAGGTGTCGGGGTTTTTTGGGGTTGGGGGGGGGGGGGTGAGTCTGAAATTACTGGGGAGGTGGCGGGGTTTTTTGGGGGTGGGGGGGGGGGTATGAATTTCTAGCCTGCTTTTAATTGGAGTACAGAATAATTAGTGAAATCTGCTTTTATTTCTCATAAATAGTCAAATGAAAATAATTCTTTGATTTGTTTAACACACTGAAGTGTATTAATATGTATTAGGGTAACCTTCGTATCTTTTAATTTCACGTTCCGTAAAATATTTTGATAAATAATGGAAGCAAAATGGGGAGTGATCGTTTTTCATCACTTGAGGTATTTATTGGTGCTAATGGCTTAGATGTACCTGAAGCTTAATTAATATTAAAAAATGCTGAAAGACCTGGTGAGAAATGAGCTAATCAATTTTCCAGTTATGCTAGTGCAATCGTGATTTTTTTTGTGTGAGAGAGAGAAACTATTAGCTTGGACATCATTTTGACTAATGTTTTAATACACCTCTTAGTTTCTGTCCACGTAGGCACCTAAAATACAGCAGAGATGGCTGCATGTCTGGAGAGTAGATGGAAATAGTTGGGAAGTGATACCAGTTGCCAAGTGTTGCCTAGCAGCACAGCTTAGGTGCTGCACAGGGATGCTGGTATTGCAAATAGAAGGATGCACACCTCCTTCAGAAATCCAGCATGGAGACAGTGGAGCAAGAGCTCAGAAACGGCTCGAATGGGAGTCATGGAGGGGCCCAGGATTCCTCTCCATGTTTCCATTCCTCCCTCTTGAGAAGCAGGCTGAAAGGGTAGAAAGCTTTGTCTGCTGCCACACTCTTTGGTGACAGTATGGTTATGTCATCGACTTGATTTCTCTAACCAGAACATAAGGGGAGATTTATGTGGAGACTGCATGTTTGTGCTGTGAGAATAGATATCTAGACCTGATACGATTGCCTGCTTTTTGCATCTCCTTCCCGCTTCCGCTCCCCCCAGCGGTGGCATCCTCCTGTTCCTTGCAAAGCTCTGACGATTCCCTTCCCTCTTAGCCTGAGCACCTAGAGACTGGAAAGGGAACCCAGATCACATGCATGCCCGTACAAGCATTATTTCTAGATTATTGGGCCACACTTCTCTCCAAAGGCTACTTATTTATAAGAGGGGACACTGACCTAGTCTTTTTGCACCGATATATATAACAGCAGGGGCATAACTTTATAGTATTAGCTTTAAGTAGTTACACAAGGAAGATATGATGAGAAATGCGAGCAATGATCAGAAATACCTAGCAATGGGCCTTTGGGAAATTGCATGTGAAGTCTGTGTCTTTGTCACAGCAGATGACTTCTTTTTTCATTCCCCTCCCCAAAGGTACAGCAAGCTCCGCAGTCCTCTTCTGTCTGCATGGCTTTTCCAGAACTCTTTGTTTTAAATGTAGGGTTTGATATGCAGCCTTGGGTTGGTTTTTTTTTCCATCCAGCACTGTCAAGTGAAAGTTGTTTGTCTTCTGAAGATTGAATTCGCTGCAGTAATTCTCTTAAAATGAAAATTTTATAGTGACAAAATCCCTGCATATTTTGGAAATAAGTGAGACGACAAGCTTAAGCGTCCACAGGTATAAAGTAACATCTTCATACCAGTGAAATCACGTATACTATGCTGCTTTCCAGTTTTAGTTATAAAAATATTATATGCGTTCTGGTGTGATTCCAGAAACTCTGCTTTGCTTTGTTTTCTACTGCCACAATATAACTCTTAACGTAGCTTACATTTAAAAAAAATAGTTATTGACAAATAAATCTTTCTGAAAACACTCAGTAGAAGTTCTGCATAAATAGCTCACCTTTTTTTCCCTTCTCCACTTGATGGGATTGGATTCATGAATGAGTCTGCAAAGAGCTTAATGTATTAAGTCCTTCTTCATAGTTTTATTATTGATATATCGCCATAAGTCTGTATGCTGCAATGATGTATGTGAAGCGACAAGGAACCGTACAATTTACATCGTAAAGTAATGCATATTTACAGTATAATGCAGAGTGTGCTACAACGTATATAGCCACCCTTTGCGAGGTTTAGGCACAGCATACATTTATTATGCTGTCTGTAAGTGGCATCCAACGTTTCTCATTGTAAGACCCTCTTCAGCTGATTATTGCTTTACCAAACTTTGACTCTCGACTAAAACGTTCCATACCGGGTGTCTGTCTCAGGTCGAGTTTTTCTAGAAAACTTCAGCCAAATGAGGCTAGGGAAAAATTGTTTTGCTCATAGTAAAATATCTTTTTTTTCCTGGAAAATCTCTGCGGGCCAGATTTGATATTTGGAGATGGGCAGCAAGGAGGAGGAAGAGCAGTCTTTGAGTCAGGGATATATGGCTTTTGGCACCCTATGAAAATCTGGCCAAATATGGCCAAGTGTTAAAACTGGTTTGCAGATACCTGGTGAAGACTGCCTAGATGTTCGCAGGTCAGTGCCTTTGCACTGGGCAGGTACCTGATACGGAGTCATGAGAACTGAAAATCCAGCTCTTCTGGATGGGGTTGGGGAAGCGCCTCTTCTGTGCACGGCGGCTGTCTGGAGGTTCCCGGAGAAGGAGGAGATCTCAGACAAATGCCATTCGGGTTAAACTGCATACAACTCACCCTTCTAGTTGGTCAGGTCCAAGGCAAAGGAAGGAATTCACATTGGTAAAAATGACTAAAAACACTGTGTAAGAGGACTTGCCTTCCCTTCCTTTTTGGTATTTCACAGCATCAGACTAGTCCCTCGCAGCTGAGTTGTGATGGGGAAGGTGTGAAATGCTAGCAGGTGGCGTGCGCAGCTGACATTATTCAGAACTGGTCACTGTCAGTGGTGAGGCAGTGAAATTTGAGAGATTCGGAGCTTGCGTGTCGCTGAGGAAAATGGCAGATGCACTACCTGGGGCACTAACTAATTACTGGGGTAAGAATTGCTTTCTTTCTTTCCTTTGAACCCCCAGATGCCAATTCATCAGAATCTGAAGGAGCTACTTGCCATCAGAGCTGAGCTGCAGAAGAAGCTGGAAGAGCTGCAGCGGGAAGCTGCTACTCGATCCATTTCTTCGTCCTCGGATAGAGGATCCTCCCCGTCTCACTCCGCCACGCCTGTGCACACTTCTGTCTGACGTGTGACAAGAGCCATGGAAAGCAACTCAGGCCAGGTATACCGAGAGGGTGCAGTGTTTTTTTTCCCTTCCTCAAGGACTGAGCGGCTTAAAATTGCTACGATCTACATGCCTTACTCTGTGTCTGTTTTCTGTTACGAGGCCAAAAAGAGCTTCAGTAGTTGTGATGGTATTTTCTTATGTTGGCAGTTCCTGTGCGTCTGTTTTGACATCTCTAGTTAAATCACCAATTGTAGAATTTACTTTATTTTGAGCAACCAACAATTTAACCATCTTAAAAAGGAACCCATCTGTCAGACAGATAATGCAAGAGGCTTTTTGCTATCTTGGGTACAGTGGCTGGTTGAGAGAACCAACTGAAATGCCATGTGACACTTGCGCTTAATCAGAACATTGTGATTTTGTTGTTGTGAATGGGAACTCTATTTAACTCAGTACATATATTTTTTTTATACAGAGCAACTGTTATTCTTGGGGACGTGTTTGGGTAATTGATGCACTTTGATTTTAAATTAGGTATTTTCCAGTGCAGCCAGTTTTACATTTTGAGTAAATATGTCATTTAAAATAAATGGTTATGAAGATAGCAGGATTTGACAACTATTGCACACTTATTGGTACTTGTATTGCTGTAATATATGTGGTGAAGCATGGATTTTAGATTTTTTTTTAATGCCTTTTTTTACAAGTTTGAATGAGGTCTTTTGATTAGTTTATTGTTCAGTTTCACTGTCAAGTGAGGTGTGAGCTTAATCATGTCAGCATCTCGTGCGAAGTACCGTTAGCTTTCTAGTAAAGGCAGTGTTTTGGCTTAGGCTGGCACTGAACCGTGTAGTCCACAGCTTCATGTTTTCTTACGTGTATCCTGTTAAACATGTACGCACACAATTCTCCGTGTGCTTGAGTGTGTGTACGCAATGCTAAACGCATGTACACACACTCTCTCAGTTTTATATTTTATGCGTTCAGAAAAATGGTTCCTGCCTCTCCAAACGTTTTGGAAGATATTAACCTGTAACAACTTTGTTTGACAAAGATTTTAAATCACTTGATCTTAGTTGGTTTCCTTGAAATAACCTGTTGGCTTTTGCAATGCTGCCAGCAGTCTTCTCAAAAGTGAATAAGCAAAACCAGTTTTCTGCACTTGCACATGTATTGTATAGCTAATGTATAATGCACGCTACTGCGCACGCCTCCTGCTAGCATGAACAGTAGCAGCGGAAGTGCTGTAATCAGTCTCTTAAGTTTACTTATACACGATGCGTGATACTGCCGTATGTCCTTTTGACTTTTATGGTACTTGCGTTTTTAAAGTGGTTCAGCTTAAGATGGTCTGAAATGCCACATCCGTTAATCAAAGTCAGGCTTTTTTATAAAAAAGACGAAGTGTGCTTTTTATATAAAAATGATTCTACGAGACAATATACTAGCAATCAGTTTTATATGGCCAACATATGTTAGGCTGGTAGTGAATTCAAATCTTTGATACCTCAAATTTAGCAAGGCATTTTAATGATCTACTATTTAGAGATGAATGTTTCTAAAACACAACCTAAGAAAGGAGTTTGGAATTTGTTCTTCATTGGAGCTAGTAATCATGAAAGTTTTTTGCTCCATAGTTTATTGGCCAAGGAGTGTTTGGGATCAACAGAGCCATTGTGAGATATTAAAACACTTAAGCGCTCAGAGTGAGAATCTCTGGATTCATTTTTATATAGAAAAGCATCGCTCATTCCTCCAAATAACCTGTTTGTACCCTAGTTTTTCAACATGCCTGAGTGATCCTTCCATTATTTCACAGGGGTACCTGAGGAGGCCTCCTAATAACATGATGGGCATAACGAGCACAGTGGATTTCACTGTCTTGTCTTAACTTGGTAGTTTCTTGTCTCTTAGTTAAAGTGTGGCTCTGCTCTGAAAAGGTGACAGCAACATGATTTCTTCTCACTTGCTCTGCTTGCTGTGGGTATTCAAAATTTTAGCATAACGACTGTGGCAAAATTAATGATTGTTACTACGATTTATTCTTGTTAACGCTGCAGAAGCAGCACAGGTCTGCGAGAGGGAGCAGACCTCTTCTAAATTGGGCATCATCAACAGAATTGGTCACTTCTGCTCCAGTCGGCAGACCTCATCTCTGCTGCTGCAACTAAAATCTCCCGAAGGCAAAGGGAGCGCGGGTGGACAGCAGGCAGGCAGCGACTCGTGCCGCAAGGGATGCGAGTGGGGAAACAGTCCTACTCCAGCGTCCCACCAGGCTCTGGTAAACCACCTGCAGGGCAGTGTCTGCAGCATGGAGTGCACGCTGCCATTGGTCACGTTTTACAGCTGAGCTGCATTTTCACGTGTTTGCTCCTCCCCCAAGCTCTTTGTTTTGTAAAATCAAAGAAGGTTTGATTAGGCTGGGCAGGGGCGAACTGAACAGTCTCATCCACCTGGCCCCACCGCTCCCTCCTGCAGTCTTCCAGCCACAGAATTAAAAGCTGATATGATAAATGTTTGGCTTTGCTCTTTTTCTTTGAATGTAAGGTATTTAATTCCCAGGCTACATTTAATAATGCAGAGGTAGCTGGCACTAATGCCTGAAAATGAATGGTCAGATGCTCGTTCAGTCCACAGATTCAGTCTTGTAAGGGATGCACCCGAGAGAACAGGGAAGGCACCTGTGCAAGTCCCCATGAGTCTAATGGGAGACAAACCTCCCATTGATTCTAAAAAGTCAAAAAGGTGCACACTCATTTGTGCGCGTCAACCTTGAAGCACAATGCATGTAATGTCAGGTATTGGAAGAGAGAAAAATCCAATCCTGCGCGTGCCCAAAAACAGTGCCAGTGAAGTGGATTTAAAGCTGAGCAGTGACCTAGCAAAGGACAGAGTCAGGGTTGTGGGGATGATTCTCCCAGCACATTTTCAAAGTCTTCTATTTTCATCCCTAACTGCAGATTTCAAGCTGCTTGTTTTTTCAGCAAATGCAGAATGTCCTCTTACATGGGAGAGAAGAAGTTGTTGAAGTAAGCTGAATGGGTGTTTTGTATGTAGGAGGGTCCGAGGCACGCTCCACTCTTCCTTCTTACTTGAAACACACAAAGAAAACAGCACCAAAGTGTCGTTGTGTAAGCCAGTCTGTTTTATTCCTTGTTTTCCAGTTGTAGTTAGCAGTCAAACTGTTTTTCCCCATAATCCTTATGCACTTTAGCAAAATGAGCTTGCCTTTTCACAGCATAATACACAACCTTCATTTGGTAGGGCTCAGTTTTACATGACTGAACTGTGCCTTGCTTTTCAATGAAAAGCTACCGCTTTAAATAAATGATTTCATCTTAATCTAATTCCACTCATACTGTTTCTGAACATTGTTTTGTTGCAGATGCGTGCTTTTTGGCCAAGGCTGCCTCTCCATTTGATTTTAATTTTTCTTAGTTTTAAATGATTCTCAAAGACTCATTCCACTTTTGCCACAACAAAAATAGTTAAGAATGACAATGCGAGAACAGTAGCGGTTCTCTGTTGGTTACAGGAAAATGTCTGCTTGCATGAAGCCTCCATAAGTGTGGCAGAAAGTGTGAAATCTGAAGCAGAACGTCCCAGTTCTGTGGCTTGAAAAGCAGTTTTGTAAAAGGAAAACTGCAAGTAGCTGACATTATACATCAAGCCCAAGCTTCAGCTACCTGGAGCCACGTGGATTCTTATAAGGCATCTATTTTGTATATCTGATATTCAAAACTGGATTTTATTTAAGCAACAGTGGCCTTGGGGACCTACAAACAGAGTGATGTGAGTGCAGTTGTACTGCACAGGTGACACGCATGTGTCCTGGAGGGCCTTCGCTGTATTTTTGGCTTAACTGAACAATGATTCATTTTACTCGGTGCTGGACTAGGCTACCTATTTTTTCTGTACTTGTATCCGATTTATAACATGGACAGATGGCACGTTTACACGGGTGTGGCTTACATCAGAGCTATATGCCAATGTAAATGGCATCCCGATCTGAAGTATGCAGATTAGCAGCTATCCCAAGTAGGTCTTCGTAGCAGGCATTATAGTGCCCTACTATTCAGTGACAGGGGCAGCCTGTTTGCTGTGTGTGAATGGCTACCCTGGGATAAGCAGCAGGCAGATGACATCTATATCGGTATAGTTTTACCCCTGGTTTTTTCTTTGGGTTTGAGCCCTAAAGCAGATTTGAACACGGGCAGTCCTTGACTTGCAATGTTTCGAGTTGCAGCGTTTCGCACGTACAACATTTATAAATTGATACCGTTTCAACTTCCTGACCTCAGTTTCGACTTTACAACGCTTGACCTGACGTGACGCCACGCCAGTGAACAAGTTTGCTGCGTCGCTCATCTCCCTGGAGAACATCTGTCCAAACTGCCTTGGAGGCTTTCTTTCCGGAAGCAGACAAGGCTCCAGAAAAACCTGCAGCCAAGACTCCTGATTGGTTCAGGAACCAATCCCCCAGTTATAACATTGTTTCTTATGAGAAAATTGATTCCAAGTTACAATGTTTCGACTTAAGACCTGGTTTTCAGGAACCAATTGCATCATAAGTCTGAGGACTGCCTGTAAAACCAGTGTAATTTTCTCTCTGCTCTATTTTTACACTGGCATAAAGGCAAATCACACCAGTGTAAACCTGTTGTATGTCCAGGCTCCAACAGCTTTCTTGTTTTTTGGGGTATACTTTAAAGATGAGATGTGCTGAGACCTGCATGCAGCTTCAGCACAAGGCTCTCTTTAAGGCGTGAATCTCTAATTATAGAGGTCTGAAACAGCCTCCTGACTTTCTGAAGCATTATGAACCACATCACTTGTATTGCTACTGAGAACCTGCAACTGAATCTTCCTAATGAACATATTGCCAAAAGTATTTTGGGTGCTGTACAGAAAAAAACAAGCTCCAGGGGTGAAGGATAGGGAAACGAAATGCAGCCACAAGCCACATGATGGAGTTTCACTTTGATATGCAGCACTTGCTTTTAGTCTCTCTCATTTTTTTTTTCCCCCCCCAAATGCTTTGAAGAGTCGACTTGGTTTATTTTCTCTAATGCAACATCAGTCAATAGTTTCCTTTTATAAACCTCCTTTTCCAGGACTCCAAATTTATACCATTGTAAACTCTGAAAAGGTGTTTCCTTTTGCTGTGCATATGCATTTTGGCTTATACTATACCTACAAATTACTTTAAGGCATAACTATTTACCAAAATCATAGAAAAGGCTGTGGGGAAAGAAGCAGCTTTGGTTCAATTTACATGTGGTGTGAAACTGCTTTAAAAAAAAAAAAAAAAAAAGCAGTATTTGTGAATCCCACGTATGCTTCTCAAAGGCTCAAGTTTAACACTTTCCCGACAAGGGTTAAGTGCTCTGTTCTCAAGGAAGCAATCCTGAGCACTCCACTGCACTGTCCATTGTACAGACCGTGAATGTACAGTGCAGTAATAGAAAAGCAACAAGAAATGACAATCTATACCTACAGAAACATTCTGTCATCAGCCAAAAAGAAATAAATATCGAATAATGTTCACTTGATCTACCCAGGGAAAAAGACTCCTAGCATCCTACCAGTGTCGTACTGTAACAATTATCTCCAACATTTATCTAACAATGTCTATACTACAGCTTTCAAATGTGCTTGCCTAGGAAAGAATGGATTCCACCACTTGAAAATGTATAGCAATATGAATTCAGCTGTGTGGCTTCATTAGCATCTGGGTTTCCTTACATGCTCTTCACAATTCTACAAACCACATTTCCTCCTTCATAAAAAACCTACTCAAGAGTAAGCAAGTGCGTATGTCTTGTCTATTTTCCCTGCTTTGGTTCCATAGAAGGCAGGAGTTAACCGAGAGCTTTGGAAGCAGCTTATGTGTTTTGTTTTGTAATCCAAATATATCCGTAAAACAATGTGTTTCTACTTTTGAAAGCTAGCGTAAGGCTTTTCAAATGCAAGTGTCAAGAAGAGCATAAAGAATTGTACAGCTGCTGCAAAACATTTAAAACGTTACTAGGAAATTGCCTTTCAATTAAAATTGTTACACAAAATATTCGTATACTTCTACAAATACCTATAGGTGAGGCCTTGTGTTAAGCCCCTTCATGAAAGCTGGGTATTTGTACTTCAAACTGAGCTAGACACGTTTATCCAGAGAGCTGCTGTTTCATGGCTACACGATGTGTTTTTGCAAAACATTACAAAAAGTACACACTTCCTGCTCCGCTGTGAACACTTGGCATCTTTTTCGTACCTCACAACAGCAAAATGGTTTTTCCCCGCTTTCACTTCAGTGTATCTGTTCCTCATTCAGCTACTTCTGAAAAACACGAGAGTGGCAGTATCCACAGTGCAGCAGCAATAGCAGGGGCATAAGAAAACAGGTACTTGCTAAACTGCTACTAGATATCAAGGACAGATTCTGCTCGGTTACCCTGTGTTAAATGGGAACGGCCCTGCCAGATCGGAGCCCAGCAGTACTGTCCTGCCCGCCAACAGCTGCTGAACACTGGACGTTCCCAGCAGCCATAGAAATATCTCAGTGTTTAATCCTGTCAAGCTCTTGACTGTTACTTTGCGGTAGTGAGGTTCACAGCTTAATTTGTATACATTCTTTAAAGCTTATTTCCTTGCCCTTTCTGAATTCAAGTTGTTCTGGGGTAGGGTTACCATAAATCCAGGCTTTCTTGGATGTGTCCTCTTTTTGGACCCTACAATTTCTGCCTGGGCAGTTTTGTGAAATATGATCCTATGTCCTGGATTTTACTCTGCTCCACTTACTGGGGGGGGAAAAGGGGGGGAGGAGCGATTGGAGGCAGCAGGCACATGTGCGTCTGCATGTGCACACGCATGTGGCTGGCGTACATGTGGGGACATCCCTGGCATACCCCTGGAGGCTGGGGGGGCACAGCGACTGCCCACAGGCAGCCTTGGCAGCGGGGAAGGGAGGGTGGTGAACGCCGACTGGAGGTCAGTGACCATCCACAGACACCACCGGTAGCGGCGATCAGCAACTGCCCACAGACGGTGTGTGGTGACCACCAGCAGCGCTGGCAGCGCTTCTATCCAGGGGGGCACATGCACCCTCTATGCATCACCGACGCCTGGCAGCTGGATGCAGGCAAGTCTGGGGGGCGGCTGGAGCTGAAGGACCAGGGCTTGGGGACTGTCCAGGGGAGTGTGTGTGGAGGGGACGGGTGTGCAAGGGGGTGGGTGCCTGCTGGTGCTGTGGGAAGCTGGGCACCAAAGCTGTGGCAGGGCAGTGGGGGTGGGAGGCAGGCACCTGCCCCTCCAGCAGGGGAAGGGGGTCCTTCAGGGGCAGTAGGGAGCTCCATGGCTGGGCTGGCGGCACCAGGGCCAGTGCCTTTGCTCACAGGGCCAGGTCAGCTGGGAGACGCTGCCTGGTGGGACGTGCCCAGGCTGCCTGGCACAGCACGGGAGCGCCAGCTCAGGGCAGGGGGGTGCCACAGGTCTCTCGTCTTCCCTTCTGCCTCTGCTGG